TAGAGTAGGTACCTGGGGGGTTAGGGAAAGATGGGGACCGAACTGATGGTATATAAGGATCAGCATGATGAGGAGAAGCAAAGTCGTGGCACCAGGGACTTAGATGAGTCTTGCAAAGCTTAATCTATGTAAGAGTCCTCCGGTGAAGATTGGGTTGTGCATAGACTACACTTCCACGATATGGCGGAGCACCTTGTCCCAAACTGTTTGTTGTCGCTTGAGAATCGCGGGTACCTCTCGGGCTGCATTGGTTGAGGAGAGTGCAGGGCACAACAGAGGAGGCTGCTCGCAGACCTGTGGGCTTTGACAGAGGTTTAACACTTCAAGGGTGCAGGGTTCTCCAAACTTTGGGAGGGCGTTGATTTACAGTTCCATTATACAGCAAGAGCACATAACTCAACCTCAAACCCCCGTAAGCCCGGAAGCTGTCGCCCTAAACCCTACAACCCAAACCCCAAAACCCTAAATCCTAAACCCTAAACCCTGCAGCGAGAGGGAAAACAAAACCCTAAACCCTAAATCAACCCTGCATTTCCAAGGACTTCGGCGGCATCAGGGCATTGGGCTACGACCAGGATGCCGAGAGCTGGGCCATGCCATTTGTGATGGCACCGGCTGCCCGCCCTGCATTTCCAGTCTTGCCTGGGTTTACTTGGAGGTTCATGGGTAGTTATAAGTGGAGTTATATGTCCCCAATATAGGTTATAACTATAGTTAGCCTACTTATAATCTTACGTATAGCTCCCCATGAACCTCCAAGTAGAATTGTCTTTCTGTTGAGTTGGGAACGACGAGCATTGTCATATCCTTGACTCTGCTGCTTGAAGAGGTGGAGTTGTAGGGCCCGAGGTGGACATTTCGCATAGAGTTACCTTCATGGCAATCTTTTCGCTATTCTTGCCAGTTCCTAACGCAAACCTTGCCACCCTTCGCAAGCCTCACGTAGTTTACACGATACAGATACAGGCTGTAGAGTGTGTTTGGTCATGACGTTTGCCATACCGTTGGGCACAGCACTCGTACAGTGGGACCGATACAAGGACATGGTCGTGTTCTGCATTACCTCAAGACTTTACAAATTCGATTTTCACTTGACAGCATTGCACCACAAGTACTTGGTGTGCCAGCCGGCTAAAACCAAGCAGACTAACAGCTTTGAAGCCAAGAGCTTTCGGGGTAATTAAGGTCAACTGCCGGATCATCCGTCGCAGCAATGCTCTGCTTGGCTACCCGCACACTAGGCTGCAATAGACAGAGCTTCGGGTGCCAAGTTCCATGTGAAGATGCAGGCGTTCAGTTAGTGGCTTCCAGCTCTTCCACCGTTCAGTCGCCAGGTCTGTGGGATATATCCTGGGAGTACGCTGGTCTTTTCTGAAGTTTCAGGCCAAGTTCAAAATCTAAACCAGCAGCAACTGGCAACTGACGCAAACCATCGTGCACACATGTCCTCCGCAGCGGAGACTCGGGAGAAGCAGCGAGACTCGAGACAATTAGGGTTTAGGGACAGCGCTGTGTGATCACAGCTCCCAGGTCACGAAGAGCAATCGAGCCATGAGCCCTAAACCCTAAACCCTAAATACTACACTTTAAAAAAAACCCTAAATTCAAAGCCTCCGGAGCTTGAGTCGGTAGGCTCCGAATCCGAAGACGGTACTTGGAGGTTCATAGGTAGTTATAAGTGGAGTTATAAGTCCCCTAATATAGGATATAACTATGGTTACCCTACTTATAACCCTACTTATAACTACCCATGAACCTCCAAGTAAGGCGGACCCAAGCCGTGACATGGCGCTCATGAACGTGTCCAAACCATGTTTGGCGTTCTCAGACCCGACGCTTCCAAACTCTTTCGGACATAAGCACTTCAACCAGTTCTAAGCCCGAAACCCGTAAACCCGAACCGAAACCCTAAACCCGAAACCCTGTAACCCGAAACCCTCTAACCCGAAACCCTATAATCCCAAGCCCGAGAACCCTAAACCCGAAACCTTACAACCCGAAACCCTAAAACGCTAAACCCCTTAACCCCATAAACCCGAAGCCCGAAACCCTAAAACCCCACACCACCCGGCCTGAGGTACGGAAATGCCTGCAGTGTGGGTGAAGTCATGGAGACCTGGCCGCCCAATCTTTAGGGGCTTTGGGGTTTTAGGTATGTTTTAGGGTCTAGAGTCATGGGTAAAGGATATAGAGTTTATAGGGTTTCGGGTCAAGGGTACAGGGTTTAGAGTTTAGAATTTAGGGTTTAGAGTTTAGGGCTTAGGATCTAGGATATAGGGTTTATAGGGTTCGGGTCTAGGATATAGGGCTTAGAGTTTAGAATTTAGGCTTTAGAGTTTAGGGTTTAGGATCTAGGATATGGGGTTTATAGGGTTTAGGGTTTCGGGTCTAGGATCTAGGGTTTTTAGTTTAGGGTTTAGGGTTTCTAGAATATAGGGTTCAGAGTTTTGGGTATCGGGTCGAGGATATAGGGTTTATCGGGTTTCGGGTCTAGGATATGGGGTTGAGAGTTTAGGGTTTCGGGTCTAGGATACAGGGTTTTGTTTAAAGTTTAGGGTGGTGGGATGATGTAGGTTGCATCTTCAGAAGTGTTTTCTTGTCTGAAGCAGGTTAAAGAGAAGTGGCCAATGATATGCCCAATCTGTGGAAGCACTGCCAACATGGCATCCATTGTGACTGCGGCCCGAACTAATTTGTCAGCCCCGGCCAGCAGGCCATGTACCGGATTGAAACCGCATGTGCTGAATGTACTTCTGGATTCCGGGATCTGATGGGTGACCGCAGAGTCACACCGTATAGGGACACTGACGGTCCCGCATTTGAGGACCGCGTTTCCTTGTGAAGGTGCTTTCAGGGGGAGCTGCCAGAGGTTGAGGTTTGGGAATCATGGTTAGGGTTTAGGGTTTATATATAGTGTTTAGGGTCGAAGAAGCTCCAAAAAGTCTCGAGCAAGCAGCATTTCCGAAGATTGCCACGCTCACCTCGCGAGTCCCTGAAGTCCTACACGCTGGCCCTCTGCCGAAGCATTGTAGAAGGAGGCTCGAAGCGCGATCCCAAAGATCTCAGACTCGCTCTAACCAAAAACCCGTGCCATGGCCGCGGTCGTGCGCCGCCTCGGCGCCTCCTCCGTGACCCCGTGCCTCGGCTTACGGCTTCGGGTTCAACTGCTTCAAAGAATTTTCGAGAAATTCGACTCGTGAGTGTTTAGGGCGCTTCAGACAGCAGGGTTTGCAGAGGTTTAGACATCCAGGGCATTCGCTGGTCGCTGGGTTCAGGCAGGCAGGAGAACTGTTGTCTTAAGTTTGTAACTTGGGGTAGAAGCTAGTTGGCATAGACCAGGACCTGTTTTGCGGGGTTGCCTTGTTTCTGGATGCCGTGTTAGTAGATAACGGTGTTTATGTGTCCTACTTCTGTACTCGGATGTTTGTCTTGGGTCGACCGGAGCTTGGGTCAGAATCCTGACCTCAGTTCCTATAGGAGCCAAAATAATTACGAATACTAGCTCAGGGGTTCCTTAGTATAGTTATAGTCCGATTGCACATCATGCTGGAATCTCTTGTCGAGCTAGTGGAACCCTCCTTACCTGAACCCTCCTACCCTAAACCGTAAACCCTAAACCCTACCAAGCCCACCAAAGCCCAGTCAGAGAACAGTTACGTCCCGATCTTCAACTTGAAAGATGGCAAATGCACGCTATAAACCCGAATAGTTACTTACCTTAATACTTAACCCACCAGAACCAATTTTTTGTAGGGTCGCTATAAATCCCATATTAGGGTTCATAATAAGAACCTACAAAAAATGGGTTTCCAAAACCCTGTTCTAATTATCAAGGCCCCTACATTAACCCTTGAAGGAACCCTTGCTAAGCCCTCTGAACCTTTATGCTCCGAGCTAAACCCTAAGCCATTCCAAAGCCCTGAACCATGCTCACCCCCAAACCCGTGAACCCCTCAACGAAACCTTAAAGGAACCCTTCAAGAAGACCCTGGATCCTTTGAGCCCAAAAGCCCAAAACCCATTGCCTTCGCCTGTTCACGAAACCTTAGCCCCTCGACTAAACCCTCTCGACTGCGAAGCGGGTGGGCAAAACCGTCTCGACTCTTAAAAAACCCTAAACCCTAAACCCTAAACCCTAAACCCTAAACCCTAAACCCCTAAACCCTAAACCCTTAAAGCAACTCGGATCCGCCGAGGAAGCTGAGCCTGACTCTCCGCGCCAGCAGCTTGCCGAGGCAGTTCTCCTCCCTGCGACTCGGCTCGCAAGGGATCTACAAGGGCTCTTCATCTATACACACTTACACACACACACACACACACACACACATATATATATATATATATATATATATACGTATATACTTCTATATATATATATATAATATATATATATACATATGTAATTAAGGGTTCTGTGAGGCTTCTATGCGGGTTCTTCAGGAGTTTGCATATAAGGATGTTGTAAGGGTTGTGTCGAGGAGTTTGGGGTTAAAGGGTTGTTAGGGTTGTAGTTGTTTCAATGTTTGAGTTCTGGGGTGTCGAAGGTCATGAACCCTAAATCCTAGACCCTGGCCAAGCAAACCTGCAAACTGTGTCACCCGAGCGGCGACTATGGATCCCCGCCTGGCACGTCCGGGTTGTGAGAGCGCAAAGCCTCGTGTTCTGGGCTTAAGGGTTTACGATGTTCAGCGTTTGAGCTTGTAGGGTGAAGGACTGAAGGACTTTCTGTTTAGAGGCTGCGGGCTTGCACTGGGAGATGGAGGTTCGGAAATTTTGCAACTGGGCCTCATGAGATGAGAGCTTTGTAAGTTAACCCTGAGCCCTAAACCCTAAACCCAAGCGAACCATCCATCTGTATCACACCGACCTGCGACTATGGAACCTCGCCTGGCTGATCAAAAGTTCAGGGCGAAGGTTCGGGGACTCGAGTGCCGACCAAGGCAGAGCAAAGTGGATGACTTCTGCAAGCACGTGGATGCGCACCTTCCAAAGGACGGATTCCAGGAAGGCTTATCAGCAAGCTTTTTCATCTCGTGGCTTTAAGTGTTGAGGTTGTGCCCATACGCATAAGACTCCATAGGCTTCCCTATCTGAAGGCGCTAGACACTGAGCAGTCATGAGCCGAGAGAGCTTCAGTACATCAACAGCCCGTAGAAGAGATCCAAGAAAGCAGGTATTCTAGGGATCGCACCAACTGCAACAGCTCCTTCCGCCCTCGTAAGGCCCTCTTCTAAGACACCACACCGTGAACTGACCCAGGAAAGAAGGTGGTCTTTGCCACCGCTTGGCTTGCCACTGACAACGTGTTCGTCGCCCTCATGCGGAAGCACTTCCCTGCATCTTTGGCTGACTGGGCCTTGAGATTGTTGTTGCTGGGTACTGGAGCACAGTTCCCAGAGACTCCAATATCCCTTAATTAAGGAATCTACCTTAAATTATAGTAGGATCCCTATAATACGGTTAGTAGGATCCCGAGTATGATTTACGGTTTATTCCTCAAGGGATATTGGGGTCTCTGGATTGCAAGATCGCGGCTTTGGGTTTTGTGGGATGGAGCCCTATAAACCCAAAACCCTAAACCCTAGACCCCAAATCCTAAACCCTAAACCTTAAACCCTAAACCCGCCGACTCGTGCAGGCGAACAAAGTGACCGTCAACCCAACTTTAAAAAAAGACCCTAAACCCTACACCCCAAACCCCAAACCCCAAACCGTAAACCCTAAACCCTAAACCCTAAACCCTAAACCCCTAAACCCCTAAACCCCTAAACCCTAGACCGGATGAGGCACCTGAGATGGAGGGCCGGAGTTTCAGTGTCGGAGGCTTTGGACGGAAAGGCAAAGGCACCGCAACATCCTGGGGCCAGCGGGGAATCCTTTCTTCCGGAATTCTGTTAGAAAGTCCCATATACTTATCATGTTTAATAAAAGGTGTACACATATATATATATATATATACACATAGTATATACACCTTCCACTTGGACCCCACCCCCTCCAAGACGAGCTTTGGGTTGTATGGATGTAAAAGGGCTCTCGATACTATACAACGCTGACTGAAATCATTAGTGTCCCTTTCAGAACATTACGGTACCCTTGGCGTACCCTTAAAGGACCTTAGATTCTAAACCCTATAAACCCCATAAACCAAAAACCTTAAGCCCAGATGGTACCAAGGAGGTTTTGACTATTTTGGGGTTCCTTACTGTAATTATACTATAATGGACCCCCCAACTCCCTATTCTAATTATTAAGGCCCCTACATTATTATGGTTAATTTAACCAAACCCAAGGAGGTTTTGACCGGGATGAACCTCGTTGCCATTGACACGCTGCACCTCTTCCCGACGGCTCTCGAATGTGCCAAGCTGGTGGAGGAGAAGTACGGCAAGAAGGCAGGGCCGCGTCATTTTCATGGATTTTGGCTAAGGGTTTAGGCGTCTGGCCGTAATTAACTAGGTAACTAGGGTCTATGGCTGTCGAAAGCGATGAAGACTCTTAGGCTTTAGGGTTGTGGCATTTTGCAGTTCTAATTCATGTCAGAATGTCCTCAAGCTTTACGTTTTGATGGGCCAGGACTTGATGAGAGTTGTCCAGGCCTCGACAATTCGTAGCTTTGCCTTCCGAAAAACCTGGCTTTGTGTCGCTGAGTAGAGTATGTCGCCAAACTCTACGCTGCTACATGAAATCCGGCTCTGCCATCGAAGGCCATGTGGAAGATGCCGAAGGGAATCACGACGAAGGACCCAAGCAAGAAGACTTGTGGTACTGAATGGTCCGGCCTGCTCCTCCTTCGTAGAGAGGATAACAAGATTTAGGAAACCTATCCTGATTATTAAGGTCCCTATAGTATGCCCCGCATCTGAACTGAAGAGCTTCAGAACCCGCGGCTTTTTTTACCCTAAATTCCACGCCGTGGAGTGCCGCCTTGGGCCCCCCGGAGATTGCAGAGACCTTGCGTCTAAGTGTCCAAGTAGTCCTTATTTTATGGGTTTTGGGTCCCCCAAAAAGGCGTCAAAGTCAATAAATAATGGGTACTTGGACTGCATTTCAAGCCTGAGCCTGCAAAACAAATACCTGCTAACTCCGAGGTCCTTGAATGCCCTCGTGGCGGGCCCGATTTCAATCCCGTTTCCCGGCCCTTCAGCTAGAAACTCTATGCTACAAGTAGCTTCCTGAACACTGAAACCTGAACTCGAAACTCGAAACCTCGAGATCCTGCGCACTCCTTGGAGGACGAGTTCATTGCCAAGTACGGCGACTGCGAAGAGTTGGACTCTGCCGACTTCGACTTTGTGAGCAAGGCCTTGGATGAAGCCTGCAGAATCTTATGTCCGATCTCTCTCCAGGGTAACTTCTAGCGACCCAAAGATACTGGCTTGAAGAGCTTAAGAATCTGGTGTCGGCTCTCGTCTGAAGGGATTTTATGTTTTATTCTAGTATTGGCTTGGCTTCGTTCAAGCTCCCTTTAGATCCGAGTTTTGGGGCTCAAAGAGACAAGCATCTGCACAGGAATGTCGGGAGAAGATAGTCGAGGTCAACCATAGCCTCGAGTTTCATTGTTTGTAGCGGTATAGAGTTCTCTTAATTAGGATCCCTTTTTGGGCGGGCCTAAAACGACACCCTAACTTAGAGAACGACCCATGTAGTCTTAAGGCAACGTCGACTTCTACCGTGGGCCCGTAGGGTTCGAATTTTGGACCCCGCGCACAGCCAGCAAGTCTGCCAGGTGGAGCCGTTCCAGCGCGCTTTGGAGGAGTGTGTTATTCTGCTCTGAGATTTTCTACAATCGGAATCCCTTAGGGTCTATATGGATGTTTAGGGTTTAGGGGTCAGGGTTTTAGGGTCTAGGGTGGGGTTCACGCTTGAGGGGTTCAAGGTTCTTGGCTCAATTTCGGGCCCGAAAGTGCTCAAGGTCTTGGGTCAACTTGAGGATGTAAGGTTTCGAGTTTCGAATCTCCGCAGATCGCAAAGGTGAACGCAGTGTCTTATTGCACCCTGGCCCTGGGAACGATGCTGAGCTGCCTGGTGAGGAGTGCGAGAAGGACATCTTGATTACCGGCCGCCGCATGGATCAGGCGGCACAGCGCATCAAGCTGGATGTCTGGGAGGATCAGAAGCGCACCTTGGCATAGATATAGATTCCTAAACAGTTGCCAGTATTGTAATTCCTTTGAGTTCCTTTGTCCAAGTGTAGGAGGTCAGGGCTCTGCTTCCATGCTTGGGGCGCCGCTGAAGTTAGTGGTGAATTCAATGGGAGTGTTCAGATGGATCGCGAACATCCGGCACATTCGGTTCTAAACAAATTGGAAGTCAAGTTCGAAACCAACTTCTTTCTCGAAACTTGTGTGATCCTCCCCGAGGCACGCTGAACCCGATGGCGAACTTCAGCTGGCAAGACATTATAGACTACGTGGACAAGGACTGTGCCACCGAATTTGCAGATCCGTAGGCTACCCGCAACCCACTACACCATAAAGTCGCTTGTTCTCGGCCTCCTGAGTACCTTACATTATCATTACATATAAACCTTCAACGCCAGGAACCCTAAACCCTAAACCCTAAACCCCTAAACCCTAAACCCTAAAGCCATATTTCCTAAGCACTACAAGCCACGCCATTTGCATCTGACCCTGGGCCGTCCGAAAGCCTCGGAACGTGAACGTTCAGAATCCGAACTTAGAGCCCGATTTGCACTACAACGCCATTCCCTTGAAGTGCCAAGATGATGTGAGTTGAAGCCAGCTACATACGAAAAGCTGCCAGAGACATCAACCTCGAAACAAGCCCTCAACCCCAATCCTAACCCTATAAACCCCCAAGAGCAAACCCTCAGCCTTCAAAAGGAGGGAGTGCCAGTGAACGCTGGCCACAACTGGGCCTTCCGCTGCGACGCGCCGATCGAGGCCACCAGCCGCCATCTCCCGGACCTTCCGTGGACCAAGGTGGACGTTGTCTCAAAAACATGCTTTAGGCCCGGGCTTTGCCCTGATTCCCTTATCGAAGCTTGCGAAAATGCAGCCTTTCCGATTCAGTGGTTTGTGTGTCCATCTTGGATTGTTGAAATTCAGGAGCTGGGATGGGTCAGGTTCTACTCCTTGTATTCATTTCAGACTACACCACCCAATTATTCTAGTTCTCACGCCACTGACGCGCCTGCAACGAAGAAGTGCTCAGAAGATTCTTAGGCAGAGTTTCCAATCCCTAGCTGCGAGAGTCAGAGTCCCAATCCTGAGTCTGTCTCCTAGACTCATCTGGCTTGTCCAAGCTGTGAGACGGAAAACCCTGCGCCCCAAAATCCGGGTCCTGAACTTACATCCTCAATTCGAAACGTCAGCCCAATTATCCGTAAAAGATATAAACCAAAGCCTTATAAGCCCTAAACTGAAACTGACTTGATCCCGGTAAACACCCTAAACACTTATTATATACTTAAGCCTTATAAACCTTACAAAGAAGGGCCCATGCCAGGTGGACCTGGGGAAGCCTTTCTGGCGATGCACGGAGGCTGAGATCAAGGGAAGCCCTCCCGCCGCCGTCACCTACGTTTTCAAGTCTTTCGGCGACATGCCGCTGAGCCATGATTTAGGGTTTAGGGTTCAGGGCTTTGGGTTTATGGTTTAGGTTGTCCAGGGAATTTTAGGGCTTTACATGGGGCCATAGGGTTCAGAATAGGCTTTAGGGCTGTAGTGGTCTAGGGGTAGGGGTTTGGCACCCTCCCCGGACACAGCCCAGCGTCTTGGGGGAGGCAGCACCATCACCATTACTCTGCAGCAAGGCACACGACGGTGCCCGTTGAGCCCCACGAGTCCGAGCGCGCCGGCCGTTTCGTACGCCAGGCGACAGCAGGGTGTTTCCGAGGTTCGGGGTGAATGAACCTAATCCCTGTAAGCACCCTTCTCCCAAAACCCTATATACCCTCAACTCCATTCCCGACATCCGGAGCACAACTTCGATAGCTTAGCATGTCGTTTTGAAGAGATACCTGAAGGCACATGAGAGACGGATCTGCAGGTTGACAAATCATTGCTAGCCCATACACCGTTTTCAGTTTCGGTGTCACTGAGATGATTGTTCATTTGTTTGGGGGGGAATTGTCATCAAGGCATTCAGAGTCATTCAGAATGCATTCCCCGCTTTGATTTCCGTGTGGTGTGCCCGGCGAAAACAATCCCACAACCCCCACATTAACCCTAGCTACTCTTCTCGGCCAAGGTCCTTAACCAGGCCCGGGCCCCGCAGCCCGTAGAGCCGCAAGAGGCCCGCACGGGCCCGTAGAGCCCGTAGAGCTCGTAGGGCGCGTAGAGCCCGTATAGGGCCCGTAGGGCCCGTATAGGGCCCGTAAGGAAGCCCGCAAGGCCCGTAGAGGCACGCCGGGCGCGTAGAGCCCATAGGTTAGGACCTCATAGACAAAGCCTCCCGGACCTGATGTTATGCACGATTAAATGCTTCAGCGCCCTGATGCTCATGATCGGAAATGCTCGGAAAGTTCTCACCGTAATGTTAAGGACCACCTCTCCTGGATTTTTTTTGGAAATTTTGGCAGTCTTGGAAATGTTGAAAATGTCGGAAAGACAGGGGTTCCCAAATTCCCAAAAAGTTCGCCCTGATGTTTTGGAAAAAGCCAGTCCACTAGGTCTATCAATGTTGAAAATTTCGAAATTTTGGAAATCTTGAAAATAAGATACTTTTCTACCACTGTTCGGTTTTCGTTCAAAAATCTTTAGTATCATCTATCCGTCTACTCCTACTAAATGGAATGAGTGGAGTGTACTAAGTAAATAAGTAAGTAAGTAAGTGTAATTACGAAATTTAAAGTTCAATTCAATTCGAACTTTCTGAACCTATTGATCTTCTAACATAAGCTCAACACAAACGTGATCACAATCGTTATTAGCACGTTTACAACCAGTGCCGCTTTTGCTACTACTATTACTACTACTACTACTACTACTACTACTACTACTAGTAACACTATTGTTACTTTGGTATTACTACTGTTCACCAAGTTCATCAAGAAAACACCAATATTCCCACCAACAAGAGTTAAACTTTCTTCAACTGAATGAGATAATTGAACTTAGGTAGGGGTAAAAGTGTTTTCGGGCGAGAGAGATTTGGTGGTTGACACCAATATATATATATATATATATATAGTTCTATATATAGAATACAGGCCCGTGTTTTTCGAGCGAAAAAGGCGATTTTCAGAATATTTTTTATGATTGTCAGGCATTTTGGCTTATCTTTAAGGAAATCAAACACAATGGCAAAATCTACTGCAAGCTTATACATATACTCAATGGTAGTTGGTAAACGCAATTTAGCAACAGACATTTGGTTTTGTGCTACCAAGTTGCTTATTGGGTGGTATTCGGGTCTGCCACCCATCTCGTTTCTCTTTAGACTCAGGAGGTATGC